TGTAGAATTTATGACCTATATTCACGGATGCCTGTATACGTAGGTGGATGTAAATTTCTGGGGGTGCTGGTAACGTGCTGCTTCTTCATCTCGATGGTGGCTATAAAGGTGGGTTGGGTTTGTGGCGTTTCCTCAGTGCGTAAACGTACGTGTGCTTTCTTCAAACGTAGGCGGTACTTGAATCGAGATTTTGAGAGAAAAGAATGGCTCCTTTACACTCCGCTCTGGCCGCGCAGCATCAGGACTGTTATTGTTACGCACGAGTGTTTCATCTTAAGAAGTACGGAGACGAGGTGGAAGGAGAAAGTGAATGGCCAAGAGCACTAGGGGGGCGGGGCTCTTTAGCCTGAAACCGATAAGGCCCGCGATTGGGGCAGAGCGGAGGTCGGGGCGGGATTTTTGGGGACGTTCTGTGCGACAGGATGGGCGATGGTGCCAACTTACAGAAGGTTGCCACCGGCCCTATCAGCCCCGCTCGCGTGACCTTGAGAAGCCATTCAAGTGCTAGAAGCATGACAAGGTGTCTATACAAAACACGTTTAAGCGTACAGTTTATGGAGTTATTGTTCCGCCGCTGATATTATTCTTTGGTGTCATATGTATTTGTACGCGTTATTTTAAACCTTTGTGAAGTGGGGTGGGTAAACACACATATTTGCCTGAAGCAGAAGGTTGCTTTACTTCAGAAGTTACTTCTACACCAAACCGGTAATTTAGGACTTAATGTGCATGTATAGAACGCTCTAGACTTACGCCTGCTAATGAAAGGATTCACCGATTCAGAATCCATTTCTGGACAGAGACGTACTATTTTAAATTCTGACCCTAGTAAGTGACAATTCCTAGTCTTGGCTGAGATTATAAGCCTTGACAAATTTGCTCCTTTTTACGGGATCTGTAGAGTTGCATTTAATAATAATAAAAGAGTGAGCCCGTGAAACCCTACGTCCTCCCATCCTCAACCCCAATAAGAGCAGAACCCTAGGTCCATGCTTGCTGGACTTTGCCACAACCTTGTTGCGTGGTTCTGTGTGTGCTATGTAAATTTTAGGTCCTGTAAATAATAAACCTTGGTTTTTTCAGAGTTCCTCGATGGTTATTGCTGAAGGGCCCCTGAAATCACAGTAAGAACCACAAGGGCTGGTCCAACCCTAACACTGGTTATCGACAGACTATGACAGGCACACATTAATTACCTCATGAGGGTTTTCAAGAGGATTAAATAAGCTAATAATGTACAACGCTAAGGAAAATGCCAACCTGGGTACCTAAGTGCTAAAATGTGTTAGTTCCAAAAAAGGTCTCTCACCCTGCAGAGGGAAGCATCTGGTTTGAGTCCCCCCAGGAAAGATGGCGGCAAACCTTGGCACTGAGAATGGAGAAGCAATGGCCAACAGGGGAAACTCCACAGCAGTTGGACAGTTCGGCCCAGTCCTGCAGGCCATCATGGCGCCCAGTAGACGCCAGGACTCTGGAGTGTTGACAGGCCAGCAGCTGGAAGAGGGAAGGGGAATGGGCGGTGTATGCCTGGACTCGTTTCAAACCACAGGGACTCCCACTGTAATTACTGTCCCACAGAAATGTGCAGGGGCTGTTCCTCTCTTTAGGGTGACAGCACCACCCAATAGAACTTTCTGTGATGATGGGAATGTTCTGTATCTGCCCTTCCCAATACTGAGCACTTGAAATGGGGCTAGTGCAGGTGAGGGAAAAGCATTCACTTTTAATTTTTTTTTAAAAAGTAACCTCGACGCTCATGTGGGGCTAGAAGTCGTGGTCCTGAGATCAAGAGTCACATGCTCTACCCGTGGATCCAGCCAGGTGTCCCTACTTTTATTTAATGTGAAAGTACATTTAAATAGCTTAGGCTGGGGCAGGACTGCAGTGACGGCTAGACATGAACCTTTCTGGGGTATTTAGAGAAGTAAATTGTATTGGATGGGATGTGGAACTGGGTGGTGATTTGGAAACTAGGGAAGAGCCAGTGTAGACCCAAGGAGGCCACCTGGGTTTCTGGCTGGAGCCACTGGGTGGAAGGATGCCATTTATGAAAGAGGAAGAGTGGGGAAGGGACAGAGATCAGGGCAAGGATTGAGCAGCTCCATTATGGACAACTTAAGCTATGTTCATGAATACGGCCAAATCTGGTTTGGGACATACTGGCCTTTTAATCTCTGGTCTGATCCGCATAAATCTCATTTCCTTATTTCCAAATTACTGGAAGATAAGTATATTAGGAAAATTCCACATAAAATTCCTACTTGACCAACACGCCTTATCTAGAAGATCTTTTTAAGTCTTTGGAAAGTTTGCATCTTTTGTTTCTTAGGAGCAATTTTACAAATAAAGCTCAGCTACTCCTACAAGTTCTGTGACACTGAGTTCATAATCATATCAGTTACCACCAGAGAACATCACTTGGGAATATTTCTGTGGAAAAAACTTTAATCCTAAAGTCTAATTAGGGTCTCTCCAGGCTGTGCCATCCCATATAATAGCCACTAGCTACCTGTGGCCCGACCTGCAGGGCATTGGGAACACAGCCTCTCACTCGCATCTGACCTGGGCAGAGATGACCTCAAACATGGGATTTCCAGTTCATCATGGAGGTGGAGGGGGACGAGGCTGAGGGTATCACACACCTATCAGGAAGGGCTTAACATTATGCCATAAAACCAAAAGGATATGTGTAGCTACAAAGATAAAAATGAAACAGATAAAACAAACAGTCTTGTTTCCTCAGAATGATCAAGAGGTTTTGATAAGAAATTTTAAGGATAAAAGCAAACCAGATTCTGACTTTTAAGACAAAGATTTATGTTCTGTAAAAAAGCTTTAAACAGCGAATAACTTGTATGATGGAACTCTGGTTGATTTTTAGGCACAGTTTTTCAATTTAATAGAAGAGGCGAAAACTTGAAATATCATGATATAAAAATGCATTCCAAAGCTTCTCGTGACAGCGCCCCAGCGGTTAGTACCTTCTTGGCCACCAAACAAAACTGCACGTGACACAGTTCAGACCACAGTCAACTTGGCCCAAGCGTTGTGGGACTTGGGGGCAGGAGATGGAATGTTTTCCCAAAACATCTTGGAATCACAGAATTTAGCACGTCAGTATTTCTGATGATGTGATAATCACCTTACTTGAAGGAAGAGAAACGGGGCTATTGAAATAAAAATGCAAAGGTAGGCATTTGGAGTTGGTAAACCAAGTTTCGAGAAAGATATATTCCAATTCTGGGGGTTCGACGCATCGTTGCATTTTAGAAAAGTCAGCTAATTTATTTGGACCATTTCCCCCAGTTGAAAAATCAGTATCTCGTAATTCAAAATCTTAAAGAGCGAGCAATAAACTGAGGGGAGGTCTTTGATAAAAGTGAAGAATTCTGGCTTTGAGAAAGTAAGCAAAAAGGGCAGAAAGGTTAAAAGCCTGCACCTTTCTATTTTGTTTAACCCCCGCCAGCGCCATCCTGCTGTGCAACGCACAGCATCTCTGGAGGAGCTCTTTTGTGGTTTCAGAGTCTGCAGGTAGACCCGTCTGCTCAAACAGCACGAAGCCGAGAGTACAAAGAAACGGAATACACGGGACTTGGCACGGTGCCGTGTGATATCGTCTCTGAGGCTTGGGAAAAGCCCGAGGATGGAGTCTTTGGTTCCGGAGACCGTGGTGGGGCAAGGCAGGCCCTGGGTTTAGCGAGGACCGCGGCTTCACCAGCTCGATCTCTTGGGAGAGTCATTCCCGGCCCAGAGCCTCAACTCCCCCCCCCTGTGGAATGAGAACAGACGCTTGCCCTCTGTGGGCGCAATGCCGGCGTCAGGAGAAGACTGACCTGTGGAGGCGAAATCTGTTCACAAGATGGGGTGTGCCTGACGACGTAGACCCTTATTCCCTCCCCTTCTGGTGGCCACCAGATGAGACACGAACGGGAGCCACACTCAGTGGCTGCTGTGAAGCCGTGTCAACGCGCGGACAGCGTGTGTCCGAAGGACAGGTCACCTTGATCAAAAGCTGGGTTCTACCGAGCCGGGCACATAACTGCTCACGTCCAGCGTCACTAAAGTCAAGCACGATGTCCCGGCGTGCTACCCCTTATGTGAGATTTCAAGACAAGGAGTAAATAGCGGGGAGCAGCGAACAGTTTCTGATCTGGAAACGGCAACAATTTAATGAACCCATTTTACTGTCATTTACCCTGCCTCGGTTGGGGGGGGGGGGAGTCATTCATTTCCCGAACGTTTTTACACCTGTAAGTGACACTAGTTCGCAGAATAAAAACATACGTAATCCAGTGTCAAAAACCGGTGAGTTATAGAAACCACCCCTCGTTTATTTTTTCCAACACAGAGAAAAAAAAAAAAAAAAAAAAAAAAAAAAAAAAAAAAAAAAAACCGAAACAAAACATGGTTCCATAATCCAGTGTTTGGGTCACTGGCAAATACAGTCTGCATCAGTCACAATAGACGTCCCTGGCTGTGAGCGCTGTGGGGCACGGTGGTGGCCCGCGAGTGTCCTATCGTTCGAATAAAGCGGGGGTTGCACGCGTGAAGGTCACGTGAGGGGAAACAAGATGGCCTACCACGATGTGCACATAAAGGAGGTCTTTGAAAAATACCCAGATCTCTAAAGGAATGGAAACACTCCTGTGCTGTGGCTGGTTTTGTTCCTTTTAATGACTGATTTTTAGCTTTTCAAGCGAGCTTCTCGGCCGTAAGGAAGGAGCTGTATGACGTTGTGGGTGGAAGCCGACAAGGCTGGTGACCTCTAGGCACGCTTTCCTGCCCCGACACGGAGTCAGCTGTCCTCCCCCCAAAACCCTCTTCCGTGATTTTTGTTATGGTTCCCAAAAGTAAAGAAAATGATTTCAAGTATTCAATTCCTATCAAAAATTGGTATCAAAAGTAATAAAGGACCTAGTTTCTTTAGAATTCCATGTTTTAAAAAATAACTTAGGAAGCAAGAGGTCCGGCCCTTTACTTGTATAAATACCACAGCGTGACTAGAGTTTCTTAAGACAGCGTGGAGAGGAGTCAGTGTTTAGCACCTCGATCATTGATCTTAACGTTGGGAACGCCTCTGACACGGACGGGAGACTCTTATAAGAAGGTGAAATACTGCAAAAGAGAAACACAAAGAAGGAAGATAAAAATTAACACAGATTTACCAAAAACGGCCAAGCTTATATTTATTCCTATGACAATATTCTCTTTCCAACAACCCCGTGTGTGTAACGTCAGAGGCGCTGTGAACAGAACGGATGCCTCTACTGCGGTGGGCTGGGATACCTGTCGGCTCCCGCAACGAGCTGCTTGCAGAGTGTAACCAGAGTCTTCAGGAAGGAAAATTAAACTCTGATGTACACGCGACTGTGACACACACACGTCCGGTCGGGGTGCGTGCTAGACTTGAATCAGAGACACGGGGCCCAGGCCCACCTCGTTCCTTATTGGCAAGGGGGCTTTCTCCAGCCCCTACTCTTATCAGTAGCAACGGGGACAGTCTCCTTAACTCACAGAGTCACCCTGAGCAAAGGAGGAGACAATGGATACCAAAGGGTGGGGTGAAAGGGCACCTGCTCAGTGGGAGGTAGTTTTTTATTCATTCCTTAAAGAATTATTGAAGGGTTAACACTGTGAAACCATGGAAGAGACAGAAGCCAGATCGTTGACCTTATGGTCCTCTTACTAAAACATGTGGGAAGAGCAATCCTGAAACGAGAATATACTGGAACGAAGGGTGACCGTTAGCAGCGATCGTTACAAAGCTAATAGAATACTTACAAATCGAACAAGAGTGCACTACAGACATGGATTTCTCTGTCTGAAACAGAGCGCAAATCACCCAGCAATTTTTAGAGCAGCTGTTATGTCTAATAGATGGGACAGGCAAAGTTGGAGGTGACGTAAAACCCATGGGGAAGGAGCAAGAATAAATGAGGTCAAACAGTGAGATTTGCTTGTTGTTTATTAACTATTAAAGCACCTACGAGCTTAATTTCGTCCCAAATTTCCTGGAAACAAGAATCAGGAAAGGGCGGAGGGTGCTGGACTTCTCCTGGTAGCCGCTGGGGATGATGTCCGGTTAGCATTTACTAGTATTTACTAACCACTCACATGTATTCCTTGCCTACGTTACAATGCAGTGCCACCTTCTCAAAGTCTACAGTGCAGTAAAAATGCGGCTGAACGGGCAAAGTGCACCCACTGAGAGTAAGTCTGAAATGGGTCCAGCTCACCCTCCTCCAATTCCCTCCTGAACCCTAGGAGTTTGGGATAAAGGGTAAAAATTAGCCAAGAGAGACGAATCCCTGATTATATAAGGAAGACGTTTGTAACTTTTCTCTCCCACACCAGCGCCCTTGCCTTTTATTCGTTATTTGTTTTTCATCTGTGGACTCCCCCTTTTCAGGGGGTCTTACACGCCCCCTGGCAACGTGGATTCCATCACAGGCAGAGTGAGAACTCGCGAAGGGAGCACAGCCCCAGTCTCGCACAGCCCCAAAAGGAGCAGGAAGTCCCCTTCCTACTTCGGAGGTTAACGTCTTTTTGTTGACCCCCCCCCAAACAGTTACCTTTTCAGGTTCATCCAGCTTTTGGCTATTTTGCTAAAGGCTTCTGAACCCGGGGCTGTCATAGCTTCAAAGTCGACTAACTGAAAAAGAAGGAAGTTGAGGGATGGCATTAGTGTGGGGGAGAAAGGCTCCCTCGGAGATCTGTTTAACTTCTGGACTGCACCGCAAAAACCCAAGGACTGGAATTTCAGCGCTCGGCCCGCCATCTGCCCTTCCAGCGTCAACGTACCTTCCCTTTGGGAATTTTTCCTGTTACTTCCTTTCCACTTGCCATCAACGCTCCCACGATCACGGAGTAAGCTATCACACTGTTTAAACAAAGAACAACGACCAGTCAGTCAGTCCCAGTCCACGGACACGTATTGTGTGAAATCTCATTATGGATTTTCCACCATAGAAGACGACATTTTGTCTCTTTTAAGAAGTCTCTAGAAATTAAACTTCAAAATAGTTTGTCTTAAAAACATTTACTGATTTACTCCAATAAAAATATTTACAGATTCGCTATTTTAAGGGTAAATGTGACTCGGAACATTGTTCTTTTTTTTTTCTCAATGTTTATTTATTTTTGAAGGAGAGAGAGAGAGAGAACAAGAAGGAGAGGGGCAGAGAGAGGGAGACAGAGAATCCCAAGCAGGCTCCATTCTGTCAGCGCAGAACCTGATGCTGGGCTTGAACCCAGGAACCGTGAGATCATGACCTGAGCTGAAATCAAGGGTTGGACGCTCAACCAACTGAGCCACCCAGGCGCCCCCAGAATATTCTTTTTCTCAGGAAAAAGTGTTTCTTTTATTTAGCAGTTTTCTTCCCACCTGGCTTTTCTATTCCTATAAAGTAATGAATTAGAAAATGTGTCGGCTTCTATTTCCAGCAACTGCACCCGGCGTGGCTTTTAAAATGCATATATACAATACACTTTGTAATATAAACATATTAATCTTATTGTTTAAGCATTAAAACCTTTGACCCACAAAGAAGAAAAGCAGAACACCTTCTCAGATTGCGCTAACAGCCTGCTTGGAAAATTGACGCGTCATGTAAATTTCCTTCCTGGCATGTAACAGACTCTCTCTTGCTTCTGACATTTAGTACACACCGACTACGTGTGCCCCTGTGCAGGGCACCCTGGGCGAAGATAACCAGCATGAGGCTCTGGCCTCTGAGAGCAAGCAGCCAGGCCCAGAAGGCAGATGGCAAGAGAGCTGCAGACAAAGCCTCCCGTGTGCAGCGAGCGAAGCCTGGGGGTCACCCAAGGGGACGACCCCACGGAGGCCAAGGGCATGCATGCAGGCTACACCTTCCGGGCTGGGGTGGAGCAAAGGGGGCAGAGAAGAAGGAAGGGAAGTAGCTGGTGCAGAGGGAGAGCACGCGTGGACACGAAGGGGTGAGGCATGGCGGGCAGCCGCGCAGGACAGGGCAACGGGAAGACCCTCGAGAAGCTCCGCAGGGCAGTAAAAGGGCAGCGGAAGGAGGGCGGTGAGGAGGCCAAGGCAAGCTAGGATCAGATGGGACGGGCACTGTGCGTGACGACCCCGAGTTTGCACCTGAGCCGCTAGGTACGAAGAACGGGGGCAGAGAGGCTGAATCACTGTGTTGTTCACCTGAAACCAGGGTAACACGGTAGGTTACCTGTACTGGAATTAAAACCAACCAACCAAAGAAACAAAAGAACTGGGGCAGAGAGGGGAAGGAGGAAAGCCTGGAAGAAGGGAGACTAGCCAGAAAGGTGCGGGTGACGAGGGTTTGAACTGTGGCAGTAGCTGCGAGCAGTAGAGAGGACAGACCCAACTGGATTAGGGACTGAATACATGTAGGCTCTG